CTAGCTGCCTTTTCTCTAGTCTTTCACTGCTAATTTAGGGACGGCTAGCGCAGATAGCCCTCGTATAACTTTGCGCGAAATTCAAAACAAACCAATCATTTGTTCTTTCCCTCATGTTTTTAGTTTGTTTGTTTTTGTAACTCCTACAATCTAGTCATACGGTATCGTTAGTTTTAATTATAGGATTTAAAGATTAAAGAATAACATATTACGTAAGTGTCTATAAATTACTTTGTAAATCATGTACCTTTGAAGTATTGGTAGAAACTTCTTCTTTATCGTTTTTAAGTTTAGATAAGTTCTACTTTACGAAACTTTTTTTTCCAAACCGTCTTGAAATGTTTAGTTTTCATTATTTAGTTTTCCAGAAACAAAGTTGACATCAACCTTTAATTCAACTTTACTTCTTGAGATATGCGAAATCTTCCAAACTCTATCCGGAAGGTGTTGTATGACAAGTTTCACGTTTGTTCATTGCATGAAACAGACTAATATAATTGTTTGAGCTCTGTAATGGATTTTTGATTATATCTAATTTCCTCTGATGAAAGGTACTACGGTACTGTTGATGATGTCAAAAGCGCCCCCCCCCCGTCTTCAACGTATGTATAGATCTCCCATTAAATTTCCTTTTACATTGTACGAATTATTAAAAAAAAACATTCTACCAATGATTTGGAACGTAATTCTACTTACGAAGATTAGCGAGTGCTAATGTTATTTTTATTTTCTATTGGGCGCCCAAATATTTGGAGCAGTTCGCGAAAAAGACCATGGTAACGTGACCATACTGAAACGTAAAATCTTACTGAAAAGCCAGTGCAAGCCATTCTTATGTTTCTTTGTTAGAAAAATATGCTGGTGCAACAATGGCACAGCAATTGTTAGATATTATGAATAAAATACATTTCCAAAAGGTATTGTTGTGCTGTAGAATGATTTGAAACTTATTTGATATTCTATGGATTTCTGTTGTTGTTTTTTTTTTCTCATCAAGGTAAAGTTGAAAGTGAAAAAATAATGACGGCCAGAAAAAAACAAAACAAAAAAAACATAGATGGTTGTGGTTACACTGGTCAATACCACTGTCCGTTTTGTCTTAAGTACTTACATTTAGACGAACACACAGAGGCGTTAAGATGGTAATTGTTTGTTGAAAGAAAATTTCTCATCAAAATCAAAACTACAACCAAATCATCAGATGTCTCCAGAATTACGCGAAAGCACAATGTTAAAAATATCCAATATGATAGAAAGAAATACTTAGAAATTCGTTTAACTCTCATTTAAATGTTACGTAGTGCGTGAAGAGAAGTTTCGAAACTTTCACTCCTTGGTCATACTAGCTGCGTGAATGATAGAGCAGCCGCTTCTAATGTGGCTTGAACTATCTGTAAGAACACATGCTTTAGGCTTAGTGATGCACGATAACTACATTCCTTACTGCACTATGTACCTCAAATCTATTTTCTAAATCACATACTCAAAACTAGTAAAACGAACAAAAAAAAACCATACAGAGGGCCTAGAACACTTTTCTTTGTCATTTTAGTGTAAGAAATTAATTGGGTGAGTTAAAAGAGTAAGAATAAATGCCACTTAAGTACACTGAAGAACAACAACAGAAACAGCATTTGAACTAACACACACACACACACATATATATATATATATATATATATATATATATATA